CAGAATTGATGATGTTGGAGAAGGAAAGCAAGCTTGAAGCTGAGAGTAAATTGTTTTCTACCCTTGAGATGAAATGGAATTTTGCATTTGATTAGAAATTTACATGGCACAGACCCCAGAATGAATTTTTACAATTATTTGGTTTCTGTAGATGAAATGGAGTTAGAAGATCCACAACTCTCATAGAACCCAAAAGAACAGATTCTGGATCTCACATTTAAGTTCTCATCTCTGAAGTTGTGTTCTTCACCAGACATTACATCAAATATGTTTGTATTTTAATCCTCCAGGCTATTGTCCATCACACATCATCTTGTGTTGCTACTTGAAGCACATTTGCACAGGATTCACCTCTCAAAGCAGAATATTCATTGTGGGACACACAACAAACCTTCAGGGCCTCTGAGATGGAGAACTAATGTTTGTGTTCTCTTTTCTGCTTTCCTCTCACAGCAAATCTCAGCTGTGTTACCGCAAAACAGCCTTTTAAAATTTATCTGGCTTTCATGTCAAGGATTATCAGTTCACACACCTGAAGCAGGCTATAACCTTCCTGATCTGACTAAAGGAGACCTCCCCCGCCACCACCAACACACACATAACACCATATTGACATTTATTATTTTTCCTAACCACACGGTGATGGAAAGGCCTGACGTTGATCATTCCTTTGGGTAAATGTTTATAATAAACATTGTGGGATGGGTTATTGCTCCAAGCCAAGATTTCTCAACCTTGACATTTGGGCGCTGTTGACATTGATGAATAGGCAAGCCTTTGTCCTGTGTGTTGAGAGGTGTTAGGCAGTATTCTTGACCTCTGCCCAATAGACGCCGGTGCATGAAAAGTCTATAGACACTGCCACATGTCCCCTGGAGAGCAAAATAACTCTGATTGAAAACCTCTGCACTCAGCTCTTAGGTACCATTAATTCTTTGTGAATTGGTTCCAGCAGTATAGGAGGATGTTGAGAAAGTAAGAGATTCTTGGAGCCCAGGAATCTCAGCAGCTCAGGTGTCACAAAGTGACTAGAAAGAATAGATCTGAACAGGCTATTGTGGGGCAGAGGTAACTTCCAGACACAGAAAACCGGATAAAGGGAATTCAGAAATGGAGACATAAAAAAAAAAAAAAAAAAAGGAAGAAGAAATATTGAGAACAAGGTGGTCTTCACTCCAGGGCTTACACAGATAACCAGAAGGCAAAAACCACAAGAGGTAGTCAGAAAACCAGGGTTCTGGTCTCAGCTCTGCTCACCTATTGTTCTGTAGATTATGTGCTTGGCTAAGTTTCTAGACCTGATAATCTCTGATTATTGTGTCAATACAATACATGAGAACATACTTTGTACAGTGTGTTCTTTATGGAAATGTTAAGAATTGCTATCTTTATATACTTGTTCCTCACATATGTTTCCGAAGGCTGAAAGTATGCCACTCAAAACTTTGCAGAGCCTGGAATACAGAATCAACTGTAGCCCAGAGCAAATTCACAGAGTTTGGTGAAGACCCAGGTCATGCTTCTCGGGCTGACCTCAGGCTTCTGGGCATCAACCGTAGGTGTGAGGTGCAACCAGGAGTGAAGTTCTGAGTCTAAGGAAGATGGAGTTCAACTGTGAATGTCTTCTACAACAGAGTATTTTTGTCCATCTCAATTTATACTTATGGGTCTTCCCAAAGAGGAAATCGGAGTCAATCTTGGTAGCAAGTACATGGTACAGTCTGTGTTGCTTGGATTCTTTGGTGTAAAGGATAATACTTTCCTAGCAAAATACAGAATTATATTTTACGTAACTCTGAACATAGAATCATCATTGGCTTTTTTTCTCATACTTAGTGTGGATATATGTGATAAAGTCTCAAAGCAGTTTTTTGTTTTTTTACATAAGACTAAAATTGGCTGGTCAATGTGGGGAGCAACTCGGACTAGACTGTTACTGGAATTAAGACTTATTCTATGCATCTGCTCTTCCACAATATGGCGCTGAGAAGGGAGAAACAGCTTTTACGCAGCTGCCTCCAGTTCAACCAATAAACTGTAGGACCTGCTCCTGATTGGAGGAGGGCAGCGTACTCGGCGTGTGGGTAGCAGAGTTGGGATTGGTGGAAGAGGACTATAAAGGAAGAGAGAGACAACATGCACCAGGAACATCTAAGGGGAACACCTGAGGAACACCTGTGCAGCCCCCGAGAGAGCCAGCCGGCGGTGTGCCACGCCCCCGCGGAAGTGGGGAAAGTGGCTAGGGGGAACTGCCCTTCCACGGAGGTGGAAGGGTCGGTAGCCAACCCGGGAAGAACCAGCAGCAAACCCGGGGAGGGCCGAGCAGACAAAAGAACAGCGCAGGGTCCTGTGTCGTTCCTCCGCGAAGACGGGGAGCGACATAATGGTGCCATGACTCGGATATGAAGCCTAGGCAGGGTTTAGTGTCGTTCCTCCACGAAGAGGGGGAGCGACAGTCAATAAAAGGGGAACAAGTGAAAATGCCAGTTTGAACACTTGAGGCAACAGGACCATTTGGAAATTCCAAAAGAATGGTGTCTAGGATCAGTTCAAGTTTAAGGTAAAATTTAGGGCTTATTTTTTCAACTCTAGCAAAAATAAGTAAATGTATTTGCCCTCTGGAGTCTAGACTTTCATACCTGGCCAAAAGGAAAACACACCAGCTAAGATAAACCCAGTTTGTACTGAGTACCCGTGGCAGAACTGAGAAGCACATGGCAGAATTACTGCCATTTTCTGCTTACACAGGAGGTTAGGCATCATCTTTGCCATTTTCAGGTTTTCTGTTTACCATACTATGAATTAAAATGCATGGACCAAGGCTTCAAGTTTCCTGTTGTTGAAATGCTGTTAGAGATTGTGAACTTACTATGTTGAAAACTGAGAACTTAATTATACTAAACTGTAGTGGTGTGGGAGGGAGCCATCAGCAGCAGGGATACTAGGCTGCTTTTTCTTTGTGGCTTTTGGGGATGATTTCAACTCTCCCCTCTTGCAAAGCCCCCTCTTCTCCTCCCCACAAAAAACAGACAACTGAAACTTACTTGCAAAACATTGTTACTGTGGGCATCTCATGGGGGATAATTAATAGGTAACCACAGTTAAATGATACAAGGAATAAAATGGCTGGTTGCCAGAAAGACCTAGTGACTTGAGGAAAGTTTTAAGATTTTTCAGGAAAATAAGTATCCTGAACTAGCATGATACATTGAATTTATTTCTGTCAAATGCTAGTGTCTCAGTAATGCAACATCAGAGCAGTTAAGAGAGCAAAGCAGGGTTCATTTCTAATGGTAAGATTTATTGAAAAATGGGACCTGCATGCTCTAAGTTAGTAATAAGCATGATCTTTCTTTTCTATGGTAAACTTAAATATACCCTAAATTTTACCTTAAAATTTGAACTGATCGTAGACACAATCTTTTTCGGAATTTCTGAAGGATTTTGTTGCCTCAGGTTTCCATGTTAAACTCACAGAATAAATGGAAAAACCCTCATGATGTTTATATGTTGGATTCTTGGAACTTTTCAAGAAAAATACCAAACCCATGCTAAGAAAAAGAGGTAGGCTCATTTTATATGTCAAACATGGATGAATCTTGAAGGCATTGTGCTAAGTGAAATAAGCCAATCACAAAAAGACAAGTGCTGTGTGATTCCACTTTGATAAGGTACCTAAAGTAGTTAAATTCATAGAAACATAAAGTAGAATGGTGGTTGCCAGGGCCTGCGAGAAGAGGGAAATGGAGAGATGTTTGAAGAAGGTAGACTTTCAGTTTTTTGAGATAAAGAAGTTCTGGAGATCTGTTGTACAACACTATGAATGAATTTAATAACACTAATGGACTGTTTCATTAACAACACATTTCATTTTAATTAGTTTGAAAGAAAATGAAAAAGAGAGGGCAAGAACGAGAGAGGGAGGGAGGGGGAGAGAGAGAGAGAGAGAGAGAGAGAGAGAGAATGCTCCATTCTGCAAGTTCACTCCTAAAATGCTCCCAAAGGCTCAGAGTGGCCTTGGCCAAAGTTGGGAGCCAAGAACACAATCCAGGTCTCCCTGCTATCTCTCTGGGTGGAGGGACCAAACTACTGGAACCATCACTTCTGTCTTCCAGGGTCTGCATTAGCAGGAAGCTGAAGTCAGGAGCTGGAGACAGGGATCAGACTCAAGTACTTCTATATGGAACATGGGTATCTTAATTGCTAGGCTAAATACCCACTGCTTATTATACATTTTTAAAGTGTACCGCAAGTCCTGAAAACAGGCAAGAAATTAGCTTACTTATCATTATGGTTAGTTTATTAAGCACCTTCTCTAATGATATGGAATACAAGAGTACTGAGAAGTTAAATTAAGATGATTTTTGGGTTGGCTGGCGCCGCGGCTCACTTGGCTAATCCTCCACCTGCGGTGCCGGCACCGTGGTTTCTAGTCCTGGTGGGGCCCCAGATTCTGTCCCGGTTGCTCCTCTTCCAGTCCAGCTTTCTGCTGTGGCCTGGGAAGGCAGTGGAGGATGGCTCAAGTGCTTGGGCCCCTGCACCCACGTGGGAGACCAGGAGGAAGCACCTGGCTCCTGGCTTTGGATTGGCGCAGCACGCCGGCTGTAGCGGCCATTTGGGGAGTGAACCAATGGAAGGAAGACCTTTCTCTCTGTCTCTCTGACTGTCTAACTCTGCCTGTCAAAAAAAAAAAGTGATTTTGGTGATATAGAGGCAGATAATTTTTCTTTGTGTGTATTGTTAGTGTTAAGTATTACAGGGGAAGATTTGTTAATTCTCAGGATATTTATTAAAATTTTGTGTTTCTGTAGAGTGGAATAGAAGCAAATAAATAATTTACTATTTAAAGAAAGGAAATAGTATTAGTTAATAGCTGTGCATATTCTAAGAAGAAAATCCTAATGACCATATAATTTTTGAAAAAATTATTTTAATGCTACTGATGGTGATAATAAGGATAGCAGTAGTGAACATTTGTTGAAAGACTACTTTGTACCAGGAACTAGACATATTTTTAGACATGTGGTAGATCTCATCATTGTTATCCCCATGCTGCATATGAAACCGCAAGGGGTGAAATTTCCTGCTGAGGAACACATGTTTACTAAATAAGAAGAGCTGGTGCTTCCGAATTTCCTGTAAAGTGGCTCTAAAAGATAAATTCATTTTGCTGCAAAAACATTGAAATCCATGCATACAAGGACATCGCCTATAAACTCCTGAAATAACTATGCAAGGATTTCAAATATTTATGCACCAAAATAAGTTTAATTCCACTTTCCATGAATGTTTGAAGTACCTTGGTGCAATGTTAAAATCTCCTTGATGGGATAGTGCCTACTGCTTCTTAGAGTGTAGAAATAGAATTTGGAAGAGCAAGAAAAGGTGCTAGAGTCCCAGTCTGTTACCTGACACTCCAAACATTTCAAGCTTCTTTACTATTAATGCTTTCGTTCATTGGGAGAGATCCCAGCCGCTTTAGTTAAGATGAGTAGGAGAGACCTTTGTCATAGTTATCGAAATCCCAGATAATGATTTGGCCTCATCTGTACATTAAGCTACAGCACAGAAAAAAATACATGAAAAAAATGAAAAAAATGAATAATGATTGTAAGTATTCCCTGCCTTCAGCAACATTTTCATCTTGAATTTAAAAGTGAGGAAAAATCCTCTCTCTCTCTCCCTCTCCCTCTCTCTTTCATTTAATGTAGGAAGGAAAAAATTCATAAGCATCACATTGCTTGTTAGAGATTCATACAAAGCAACCCAATGGACATGTGACTGCATTTTGCAGAACTGAAGCTCCTTTACTGAATATAGACAGATGTTGGGGCACGGTTTAGGAAAAGGGAATTAGGTATCTTGATGCTCCTAGTAAGAGCACAAGCAGATAAACACTGCTTACAAAAGCCATTTGACATTGGTGAAATGCTGTGCAAACCTTGAAGGGAAGGTTAAGTGGATGACTCAGCCTGCTACCTGCCATGCTAGGGCAGTGAGGTCTTAGAATTTTCCCTTCAATGATTGAGGTAAAAACATTCTGATGTAACATTTTCACCATGCTTTTGATTTTCCCCAGTCACTTTCCCATGTTGTCCTTGAGACAAATGGCAATTGGGGCAGATTCTCTTATTCCTATTAATCCAAGTGATTGAAAGACATGTGTTAGTTACTGTTTATTCAGCTGTTGAAAGACATCTGGTATTTTTCTCATTTCTTGCTATGAATATAAGTTCGCATTGCTCTGGGATAAATGTCTGAGTGTGCAATTGTTGATCTACATGGTAATTTCACGTTTCTTTCTTTAGGTTTTCTGTGTCTTCATTCTACTTGAAAATCAGAGAGACACACAGAGAGATCTTCTATCCACTGGCCCATCCTCCAAATGTCTGCAACAACTAGGGGTAGCCAGGCCAAAGCTGGGAGCTTGGAGCTCAATCCTGGTCTCCCATGTTGGTGCAGGAATGCTACTAACTGGACCATGCTTTGCTGCCTCCCAGAGTGCACATTAGCAGGAATCTGGATTGGAAGCAGGGGAGCCAGCACTTGAACAAAGCTGTCCTATATGGATGCAGTCATCCCAGGTGGTAGTGACCTAACTGTAGTATGTGTCTGCCGCTCATTTTTTTTTTTCTTAATTGCTGAACTGTTTCTCTGAGTGGACTTAAATCATTTTGTGTTTACAGCAGCAACCTGTGAGTGATCCCATTTCATCTCATTCTCACTAGCATTTGATGTTGTCACTATTTTATATTTCAGTTATTCCAATATACTTTGTGATTCCAATTTGCATTTCACTTAATAGCTAATGATATTGAACACATTTTCATGTGCTTCTACATATAAATGCTTTGTCACACAATAAGTGATTTGCAATTATTTTCTGTGAATCTATATCTTTTCTACATTTCACAGCATATTTTGGAAATCTTCATAATTTTAATGAGGTCTAATTTATCAGTTTTTCTTCTTAGGATTGTGCTTTTGGTTTCATATCTAAGAACTTTTGGCTAGTCATAGGTTCCAAATATTTTCTCCTGTTATTTTCTGTAGATGTTTCAGTTTCGCATTTTGCACTTCACATTTTTTATCCCTATCTCATTTTGTATGAGATATATTTGTCTAAATCAATTTTTGTATAATTACAAGTCAAGATTTTTTTTTTTTTTGCCAATTGAGGCCAATTTCTCCATTGCTGTTAATTTAAAAGATAATTATTGAGTTACTTTTCTTTGCCAAAAACTAATTGAGAGCTGGTGTTTAGTCTAGTGGTCAAGATGTCTGCATCCTAGTTTCCATTCTCAGCCGTGGCTTCTGGCTCCTGCTTCTTGCTAATGCAGAGCATAGGAGGCATGAGGATAGCTCAAGTAATTGGGATCCTGCCACCTTTGTGGGAAAACTGGTTGAATTACGAGCTCTTGGCTTCTGTTTAGTCCCAGCTTGGCTGTTACAGGCATTTAAAGAGTGAACCGGTGGATGGGAGCTCTTTCTCTCTGCCTCTCAAATAATAAAAAATTAATTGTACATACTTGTGTGAGTCGATTTCTGAGTTCCCTATTCCACTGATTTTTATGTCTAACTCTCCATCAATAATGCTATCTTAAATACTTCAGCTATACACCGAGTTTGAATATCATGAAGAGGAATTCTTCCCACTTTTCTTTAATTTTGAAACTCATTTTAAGAACTGTAGCTCTATGAGAGCTCTTTTCTCTTTTTCTCTGTATCTTTCGTCTCTCTGCCTTAAAAACAAAAAACAAAATCAAATACAACTCTTTTAATCCATGTTCCCCTGAAAATATTTAGGACAATTGCTTGAGGGGAGAGGAAATACTCAAATAATCCAACTTGTTTTTTGTTAAAATTGCATATATTTTTAAAAAAATATCTGTTTGAAAGAGGGAGAGAGTGAGAGAGAGAAGGAGAGAGAGAGAGTCTTTCATCTGCTAGTTCACTCCCATAATGGCCTGGGCAAGGCCAAAGCCAAGAATCTGGGAATTCATCAGGGTCTCCCATGTGGATGGTAGGGGCCCAACTACTTAGGCCATCTTCTGCTGATTTTCCAGGAGCACTGACAGGGAGCTGGATTAGAAGTAGAGTAGCTTGGACTTGAACTTGCACCCATATGGGATGGCATTGTCGCAAGTGGTGGCTTAACCCACTGCACCACGATGATGTCCCCCAAATTACATACTTTTTAAAATTTAGAGATGGGAGACTAATCAAAGCCAGTACAAACTTACAAACTTTGCTCTGTTTAATTACCTTCAGAACCAAAATGCAATGGAATGAATGATGCGTGAGACTGGAGAAGAAGAATGTGTATGCAGACATGATGATAACATCAAGATGATCAAAGATAGCAAGATGTGGCTGCAAATAGGAAGCTGCTCTGTGAACCTCAAGATTCTTCCTTTCTCTATTTTGCTGTTGTCCTGAATTAGTGAGTCCAGCAACTTTCATGTCACCACAATCTGTTTTTGAAGGAACAATACTGAGGAATTTGAGAAAAAGTTTCAGTAATCTTCACTATACATATCTGTGTAACGCATAGGGCCAAAAACTAGAAGTGACCATATTAAAACAGAGTTGTGTTACGGTGATGAAGTTATGGGATTTTATTTCCCCATGAATTTTGGCAATGAGTTTAGAAAATGGTAATGGCTTTGATAGGAAAAAATAAGAGATGTAACTAGCCCATTGTATACTTCTTCAGAGAAAAGAGAACACAAAACTTATTGTGAGAGTGGAGTCTTCTCCCTACTTCCCAACACCAACCTCTCGGCCAGACAGCAACTGCAATGGGAGCTCTGCTGAATGTAGAAGGAAATTTTCTATCTAGACTCAGCAGTTGTAAAAAAGGAGAGACTAGTTTTGGCATAGTAGAAAAAAAACCTATTTTGAGGCAGGATGTTTATGTCCTATCGCTCGTACTGGATTAAATTATAGTAATGTAATTTTAACAAATTGCTTCATCTCTCTAGCCACAACTTCATTTTCTATAGAGTAGAACTAGTATTTATCTCCAAAGGGTATCTTTTTATGTGCTTCAAGATGTGTCTGCATCTATCATAGTAGAGAAGAGGAATTTCCTGTAAACAATGAAATGGATATTTACACTTGATAGAATTAATCACTGGGTATTACTGATGAAAACATTTTACAAATTGGTTCCTGAATGTGGCCAAACACTGGAAGTTTTAAAAACACAGAGACTTAGATCCTTCTCATACTGAGTAAATCAGAATTTCCATGGGCAAGATCCAAGACTTAGTGCTTTTAAAACCCTTCAATGTGACTTTGATGATTGGCCAGTGTTGGGAAAACCAGCAATTTTCAGACTTTAAAATGCTTGTGAATCACTCAAGGATTCTGTTAAAATGAAAATTCTAACTCAGTAGACTGGAGCAAGGGCTGAGGCTTCCCTTTCCTAAGGAGCTCCCAGGGAACACAGATGCTGTGGGCCCTGGGCACACTCTGTGTAGGATTTGGGTTTCCTTTGGATTTTCCTCTTTGAGAGGTCAGGTCACAGATATAATCAAGAATGTTCTTTCTAGGAAAAGGGAAAATGATTTCTGAAACTTTTAGACTGTGACTATTACAAATGATGAAAGAACCACATAAATTATTTTTGGCAGGACTAAAATATAAGTGGTTGAATTTGTAATTAGAATGCCAACTCCAAGAGAGTAATAGAAGAAAGAAGGCAGTTGATCAAATATCATTCCTTGTTTTTATGGCCTAATCTGGGAGGTGGGGATAGGGGTCATGATTTGTATTGCATGTCTACGCACAGGACAGCTTAATTTTTTTTTTTAACTTTTATTTAATGAATATACGTTTCCAAAGTACGAATAATGGATTACTATGGCTTCCCCCCCATACCGTCCCTCCCACCCACAACCCTCCCCTTTCCCACTCCCTCTCCCCTTCCATTCACATCAAGATTCATTTTCGATTATCTTAATATACAGAAGATCAGCTTAGTATACATTAAGTAAGGATTTCAACAGTTTGCTCCCACACAGAAACATAAAGTGAAAAATAATAGATGATTTTTTTTAATGATGATGAAATCAGATCAGACCTATTGTCATGTTTAATCCCAGTGAGAGTCAAGTTGGGAGTTGATAGTTTCTTTTCTTTCTTTTTTTTTTTTTTTACAGAGGATCAGTTTAGTATGCATTAAGTAAAGATTTCAACAGTTTGTACCCCCATAGAAACACAAAGTGAAATATATTATTTGAGTACTTGTTATAGCATTAAATCTCAATGCACAGCACATTAAGGACAGAGATCCTACATGAGGAGTAAGTGCACAGTGACTCCTGTTGTTGACTTTACCAATTGACACTCCTGTCTATGGCATCAGTAATCTCCCTATGCTCCAGTCATGAGTTTCCAAGGCTATGGAAGCCCCTTGAGTTCTCTGACTCTTATCTTGTTTAGACAAGGTCATAGTCAAAGTGGAGGTTCTCTCCTCCCTTCAGAGAAAGGTACCTCCTTCTTTGAAGACCTGTTCTTTCCACTGAGATCTCACTCACAGAGATCTTTTGCCAGAGTGTCTTGGCTTTCCATGCCTGAAATACTCTCATGGGCTTTTCAGCCAGATCTGAATGCCTTTAGGGCTGATTCTGAGGCCAGAGTGCTATTTAGGGCATCTGCCATTCTATGAGTCTGCTGAGTATCTCACTTCCCATGTTGGATCACTCTCCCCTTTATTTATTCTATCGGTTAGTGTTAGCAGGTACTAGACTTGCTTATGTGCTCCCTTTGACTCTTAGTCCTTTCATTATGATCAATTGCGAACTGAAATTGATCACTTGGACTAGTGAGATGGCATTGGTACATGCCACCTTGATGGGATTAAATTGGAGTCCCCTGGTATGTTTCTAACTCTACCATTTGGGGCAAGTCAGCTTGAGCATGTCCCAAATTATATATCTCTTCCCTCTCTTATTCCTACTCTTATGTTTAACAGGGATCACATTTCAGTTAAATTTCAACACTTAAGAATAACTGTGTATTAATTACAGAATTGAATCAGTCATATTAAGTAGAACAGACAAAAAAACTACTAAGAGGGATAATGTATTAAGTTGTTCATTAACAGTCAGGGCTATGCTGATCAAGTCACCGTTTCCCATAGTGTCCCTTTCACTTCAACAAGTTTCCTTTTTGGTGTTCAGTCAGTTGTCACCGATCAGGGAGAACATATGGTATTTGTCCCTTTGGGACTGGCTTATTTCACTCAGCATGATGTGTTCCAGATTCCTCCATTTTGTTGCAAATGACTGGATTTCGTTGTTTCTTACTGCAGTATAGTATTCTAAAGAGTACATATCCCATAATTTCTTTATCCAGTCTACCGTTGATGGGCATTTAGGTTGGTTCCAGGTCTTAGCTATTGTGAATTGTGCTGCAATAAACATTAGGCTGCAGACCGCTTTTATGTTTGCCAATTTAAATTCCTTTGGGTAAATTCCAAGGAGTGGGATGGCTGGGTCGAACGGTAGGGTTATCTTCAGGTTTCTGAGGAATCTCCAGACTGATTTCCATAGTGGCTTAACCAGTTTGCATTCCCACCAACAGTGGGTTAGTGTCCCTTTTTCCCCACATCCTCGCCAGCATCTGTTGTTGGTAGATTTCCGAATGTGAGCCATTCTAACCGGGGTGAGGTGGAACCTCATTGTGGTTTTGATTTGCATTTCTCTGATTGCTAATGACCTTGAACATTTTTTCATGTGCCTGTTGGCCATTTGGATTTCCTCTTTTGAAAAATGTCTATTGAGGTCCTTGGCCCATCTCTTAATTGGGTTGTTGGTTTTGTTTTTGTGGAGTTTCTTGATCTCTTTGTAGATTCTGGTTATTAACCCTTTATCTGTTGCATAGTTTGCAAATATTTTTTCCCATTCTGTCGGTTGTCTCTTCACTCTCCTGACTGTTTCTTTTGCAGTACAGAAACTTCTCAATTTGATGCAATCCCAATAGTTAATTTTGGCTTTGACTGCCTGTGCCTCCCGGGTCTTTTCCAGAAACTCTTTGCCTGTGCCAATATCTTGAAGGGTTTCTCCAATGTTCTCTAGTAACTTGATGGTGTCAGGTCGTAGATTTAGGTCTTTAATCCATGTTGAGTGGATTTTTGTGTAAGGTGTAAGGTAGGGGTCTTGCTTCATGATTCTGCACGTGGAAATCCAATTTTCCCAGCACCATTTATTGAATAGACTGTCCTTGCTCAAGGAATTAGTTTTAGATCCTTGATCAAATATAAGTTGGCTGTAGATGTTTGGGTTGATTTCTGGTATTTCAATTCTGTTCCATTGGTCTATCCTTCTGTTTCTGTACCAGTACCATGCTGTTTTGATTACAACTGCCCTGTAGTATGTCCTGAAATCTGGTATTGTGATGCCCCCGGCTTTGTTTTTGTTGTACAAGATTGCTTTAGCTATTCGAGGTCTCTTGTGCCTCCATATAAATTTCAGTACCAATTTTTCCAGATCTGAGAAGAAGGTCTTCGGTATCTTGATTGGTATTGCATTGAATCTATAAATTGCTTTTGGGAGAATGGACATTTTGATGATATTGATTCTTCCAATCCATGAGCATGGAAGATTTTTCCATTTCTTGGTATCCTCTTCTATTTCTTTCTTTAAGGTTTTGTAATTTTCATCGTAGAGATCTTTAACATCCTTGGTTAAGTTTATTCCAAGGTATTTGATTGTTTTTGTAGCTATTGTGAATGGGATTGATCTTAGAATTTCTTCCTCAGCCATGGCATTGTCTGTGTATACAAAGGCTGTTGATTTTTGTGCATTGATTTTATACCCTGCTACTTTGCCAAACTCTTCTATGAGTTCCAATAGTCTCTTGGTAGAGTTCTTTGGGTCCCCTAAATAAAGAATCATGTCATCTGCAAAGAGGGATAGTTTGAGTTCTTCCTTCCCAATTTGTATCCCTTTAATTTCTTTTTCTTGCCTAATAGCTCTGGCTAGAACCTCCAGAACTATATTGAATAGCAGTGGTGAGAGTGGACATCCCTGTCTGGTCCCAGATCTCAGTGGAAATGCTTCCAACTTTTCCCCATTCAATAGGATGTTGGCTGTGGGTTTTTCATAGATTGCTTTGATTGTATTGAGGAATGTTCCTTCCAAACCCAGTTTGCTTAGAGTTTTCATCATGAACGGGTGTTGTATTTTATCAAATGCTTTCTCGGCATCTATTGAGAGAATCATATGGTTTTTCTTCTGCAGTCTGTTAATGTGGTGTATCACATTGATTGTCTTGCGCACATTAAACCATCCCTGCATACCAGGGATAAATCCCACTTGGTCTGGGTGGATGATCTTTCTGATGTGTTGTTGCATTCTATTGGCGAGAATTTTATTGAGGATTTTTGCATCTATGTTCATCAGGGATATTGGTCTGTAATTCTCTTTCAGTGCT